ATATCCGTCGCTCAGCGCTGGGCGAGTTCCGGTTGACACGCTCCGATACTTCAATCGGCTTCGGGTTATCGCGAACAAAGCTGGTCCTTCGAGCCGGATCGTGATAGAGAGTGTCGGATAACGTGTGGTTGTTTTCCGGATCTGTGACAAATCGCTGCCATGTCGGAATCGCTCACAAAGCAGCTCACCTTACAGCGCTCAATCGAACGAGCGCTGGAGAACTTTAAGAAAATCGGAAAGGCGAACCTCACCGCGGCGAAGATTCGTACTCGGATCGCGTCGCTTAAGGAGAATTGGACGCAATACCAAAACGGGCACGCTTTCCTTTCTGTGACTGTTGCGACGAAGGACAAGACATCTATGGAGTACTTCCTGGATAACTTCTTCGAGGCCACTGAGGACGTTTACAACGCCACTTGGGAGCATTTTGCGGAGTGTCTCGAAGACTTGGAACCTGTCGTAAATCAAAATCAGTCTCTTAATTCTTCCTCGTCGGGCTCGCTGCCTGCGGACGTACCGTCGTTGTCTCAGTCGCACATGCCTAAGATTCAGTTACCGCCGTTCGATGGTACATATTCGGAGTGGGAAACGTTCCGCGATCGGTTCTCATCTCTTATCATCAATAACCCGTCGCTGAGGGATTTCGCGCGCATGCATTATCTTTCGTCCTCGCTGAAGGGCCGCGCGCTCGCTTGCCTTCGTGATATTTCCATCACCGCAGACAATTTTAAATTAGCATGGACTACATTGTGCACGCGATTCGACAACAAACGAAGGCTTATCGCGTCTCACTTTTCCGCGCTCTTCGGATTGTCGGCCCTCGCTAAAGAGTCGGCGTCCGATTTGCAACTTCTTTGCGATAATTATCAAATTTCGGTCAGTTCACTTAAGAATCTCGGTCGCTCTACCAGTGATCTTTGGGACGATTTCCTCGTGCACTCTCTCACTCAGAAGCTAGATCCCGCCACCCGGAAGGCGTGGAATCTTAAGACAAGCGACTCCGAAACTCCGCCTTCGTATGAAGAATTAAATCGGTTTCTTACGAATCGGATCCGCGCGCTGGAGGAATGCGCCTCCAATTCGGTCGTTAAACCGCCTAAACCCGCGCCCGCGTCTCGCGTGCATGTTGCGACTGCATCTGCGTCCGGTTCGACAACTTGTCCGCTATGTCAAGCGCGACATTACTTAAGCGCTTGTGCAAAGTTTACTGCCCAGAATCCGACTCAACGTCGCAATACGGTCAAGCAATTCAAGCGCTGCTTCAATTGTTTGAGTGCCTCTCATGTCGTTACCGATTGTAAAAGCCAATATTCGTGTCGCTCGTGTAGCAAAAAACATCACACGATGCTTCACCTTGATTCGGATTCTGGACTCCCTACTGCAAAATCGTCCGTAGAGAAAGCTCAAGTCGATACTCCGGCGATTCCCGTCGAAGTTAACTCGCATCTCGCTTCCGCGAGTCCCCGCGCACGATATCAGGTCCTTCTAGCTACCGCTCACGTAAAGGTTACCTCCGACTCCGGTCGCGCTTCCGTTGTCCGGGCGCTAATGGATCAAGGCTCTGAAGCTACCTTTATCTCTGAGTCCTTGGCGCAATCTCTGCGCGCCAAGCGAATTCGGATGCCCGTGTCCGTTTCAGCTGTTGGCGGCGCTCAAGTGAGGATGGTCCGCCACGCAACCGCTGTCTCCGTTTCGCCGACCACGTCGGATACGCCGTCGCTTACCACGACGGCCCTCATTCTCCCGTCGTTGACGTCGTACGTCCCCAAGCAGACGTCCGACATCTCATCCTTCGATTATCTGTCTCACTTAACATGGGCTGATTCGGATCCGACAAGTTCCGAGTCAATTCATATGATCATCGGCGCTGATCTCTTCAGTGCAGTCATTCGCGACGGCGTTCGAGCCGGCACGATAAATCAGCCGATGGCTCAAAATACCATTTTTGGCTGGATCATTTCTGGCCCCCTCTCTACGGAGCGTTCCTCTCATCGAACTGCCCTCCATGTCACCACTCACTGTACCTCGCTAAATACTCTCAGCGAGAGTATTCAGAAATTCTGGATTACCGAGGAACTTCCTCAATCCGGTCTTCTATCTCCATGCGATCAACAGTGCGAGGAACATTTTCTCGCCACCCATTCTCGCGCGGCAAACGGACAATACATGATGCGATTGCCCTTTAAATCCCCGCCGCCACTTGACATCGGGTCCTCTCGGCATATCGCTGAGCGTCAGTTCACGGCCCTTTCAAGACGCCTTTCATCTCAACCCGCAATTCGCGACGAATATCACAAATTTATGCGTGAATATGAAGAGCTCGGTCACATGCGTCGAGTATCCGCGGCGAATACGCCCGCAAGTCAGACCGTTTACATCCCGCATCATCCGGTGTTTCGCGCTGACAGCGTTACCTCGCGTCTCCGAGTCGTCTTCAACGCCTCCAGTCATACGTCCAACGGCACCTCTCTGAACGATCACTTGCACGCCGGTCCGAAATTACAATCGGATCTCCCGGCTATTATTTTACAGTGGCGTCAACACCGCTACGTTTACATCGCCGACATCGCCAAAATGTACCGGCAAATTTTGATCGATCCACGGGACCGCGATTATCAGCGGATCATCTGGCAGCCTGAGTCCTCAACCGCGTCCTCGAGTTATCAGCTACTGACGGTCACCTACGGTATGACCTGCGCCCCGTTTCTCGCGCTTCGCGTTATCCAACGTCTCGTCACCGACGAAGGCCATCGCTTTCCACGGGCTGTGCCCATCCTTCAGCGCCACATTTATGTTGATGATGTGCTCTTCGGCGATCACGATATCGCGTCGCTGAAACAAACGCGTGATCAATTGATATCTCTACTCGGACGCGGCCTCTTCGAATTACGCAAGTGGGCGAGTAATTCGTCCTCCCTATTGGACGATATCAATCCCTCGAATCACGGTCTCGCTTGCAGCAAAGCCATCGCTAGCGATGAACAAGTTAAGATCTTGGGCATCGTCTGGAATCCCTCTCGGGATCTCTTTCAATTCCGAGTTTGTCTAGATCGCTCAGTTCCTCGGAGTAAACGCTCAATTCTGTCGACTATTGCTCGATTGTACGATCCTCTCGGGTGGGTGACTCCTGTCACAACCTCCGCTAAAATCTTCATGCAGCGGTTGTGGTGTTCCAAGCTCGATTGGGATACCGAGGTATCCGGTATCCTCAGCTCTCAATGGCAAACTATTTATGCGAAGCTTACACATCTGAATGAGGTGACTCTCCCTCGGTGGACTGGAGTACAGCCAAATTCAGCCGTCGAACTGCACGGGTTCTCCGACGCATCCACGATGGCGTACGCCGCCGTCGTCTATCTCAAGGTCACCTCTCCGCCCAGTGCCCCGCACATCTCACTACTCGCCAGTAAATCGAAGGTCGCTCCGATCTCTCCTCTTACTGTCCCGCGCCTCGAACTTGCCGCCGCGGTCATTCTGTCCCGGCTCATGAAGTTCATTCGAACTTCGCTTCATCTGGAATCCGCGTCCTGTTTCTGTTGGACGGACTCCATGGTCGTGCTCACGTGGTTACGGTCTCATCCGTCTCGCTGGGCTACCTTCGTGGCAAACCGCGTTCACGCCGTTCAAACGAATGTGATGGATGCCGTGTGGAGCTATGTCCCCACGTCAAGCAATCCTGCAGACTGTGCGTCCCGCGGTCTCCCCGGCGACGAATTACTCTCTCATCCACTGTGGTGGCACGGCCCACCTTGGTTAGCCTCCGCTCGCGACGAGTGGCCACCGGAACCGACTTCTTACATTCCCGCCTCTCCGTTGGAAGAGAAAGTTGTCTCGCTCCATTCGCAGGGGACTGCTTCGCAATGGGATCTCGCCGTCCGATTCTCCTCGTGGTCCAAACTCGTCAACGTAACCGCGTATCTCTATCGCTTTATTGACGCATGTCGCCGACGGAACCGGGATTCTACCCGACCCTCATCAACCGCCGCTCCGCTTCGCAGCGACGAGTGCTATAACGCCAAGATCTTTTGGCTTAAATACATTCAAGCGACTCTTTTCCCTGCCGAACTCAGAGCGCTCTCCGCCGGCCGTCCTGTCGCGTCAGGTAGCCCAATCTCGTCCCTCACTCCATTCGTCGACAAGCACGGCGTTCTACGCGTGGGGGGACGGCTTCAACAAGCTCCTCTCCCTTACGACGTTCGACACCCTATCCTACTTGCTTCGCATCCGATAGTGACGCTCTTAGTCCAGCGAGCTCACATACGCACGCTGCACGGGGGGCTGCAGTTAACGCTTACCGCCCTTCGCTCCGAATATTGGATCATTCGAGCGCGAAGTCTCATTAAATCCGTCATCCATCGGTGTGTGGTGTGTGTCCGCGAACGCGCCTCAATCCCGACCCAACTTATGGGAAATCTTCCTGCTGTGCGTGTTTCCCCACCCCCTCGAAGTTTCTCGCACTGCGGCGTTGATTACGCTGGCCCGCTTCACGTGCGCGCATCTGCCGGTCGGGGAGTCACCTCCCGTAAAGCCTACGTTGCTCTGTTTGTGTGTCTCTCCACGAGGGCCATTCACTTAGAACTCGTTAGCGATTATTCCGCCTCCGCATTCTTGGGAGCCTTTACGCGATTTACATCTCGGCGCGGACTGCCGCAAACGGTTTACTCAGATAACGGCACTACTTTTGTTGGCGCTGAGAAAGAGTTAACCATCGCGTACCGAGCAGCCCTTCGCGACGCTTCATTTCAAAATCAAACTGCGTCCGATAACATCTCCTGGCATTTCATCCCCCCCTCCGCCCCTCATTTCGGAGGTATCTGGGAAGCCGGCGTCCGCAGTATGAAACATCATCTACGTCGTGTGCTGGGTAGTCATACCCTCACATTCGAAGAGCTCACCACGCTCCTTTGTAAAATCGAAGCTTGCCTCAATTCGCGCCCGCTCGCTCCCCTCTCCGACTCAGTCGATGATTATCAAGTTCTTACTCCGGGTCATTTCCTTATCGGATCTTCTCTCATCACTCCTCCAGAGCCCTCGGTGCTCCATCTGTCTGAAAATCGGTTATCACGGTGGCAACTCGTCCGCCACCTGACCGAACGATTCTGGGCTATCTGGACCAACGATTATATAAACACGCTTCAACAACGCCGCAAGTGGCGCAAGGTTGAAAATCCTCTTCCAGTCGGACGCCTTGTGCTTTTGCGCAATCCGAATTTGCCCCCCTGCAAATGGGAATTAGGTCGCATAGCAAAGGTTCATCCGGGCCCCGACGGGCTGATTCGCGTCGTTACGGTTAAGACCGCCTCGTCAGAATATACTCGTCCGATCGGAAAGCTCTGTATCTTGCCGATTGAAAGCGCTTCTCCATAGACTGAGAAGACCTGCGTGCGATATATTATATTGTTAGCGTAAGATTAGTTTAAGTTGCGCACTGCGGCGCCAGAACGAGCCCACTCGCCGGCGCTCCGCCTGTCGTCCTTTGTAATGATCAACGGATCGGGCCGCCCCCGACCGCCCCTCGCGGGTTAATATCTAATCGCGTAGCGTGCCGACTCTCGTCCGACTTCGGTTAAATTTGAAACGACGTTTCAAGGCGGGCGATA